AGGCTTTTAATAAATCATGGTCGTAAGGCAGTGAAACTTCGGTGTTGAACACCGATGTCATGCTGAAACGACTCCAATATGCTTCTTCTATTACGTCGTTTGGCATCTAGTTGAACTGCCAGTGTTGATTTCACATCTATGCCTCCCAAACAGAATGTAATCTGGGCTGACCACGAGATGTCTTGCTCTCTGGGGAGGAATTATGTATATTTCAACAAGTTTTCCAAAGCTATGAGTGTATTATGTTCCGGCAACATATACCATATGATATACCTGGCATTCACTTTTTCCTAGGAAAACTGCGATCGGAGTTAACAAACTGTGTATGAATACGCTTCTGTTTATAAACGGCGTTTATGTAATGACTTACCATTATAGTGCAGATAAAGTACATCATTTAGATGCGGTGTTTGATACAACTTGTTTTTCGCGCAGTGCTTTTTCAAGAATTCTTTCGTCATCCTTAAACAGAAGAACACACATTAACCCTGAATTGTCTGACTTATTCGAGACGAGACGATATACTATATATATATATATATATTGTTCAGAGGGTATGTAAGGCCTGCAAACTTTCAATCATTTTGCTGCATTTAGCTCAACTCAAATAATAAATGTTTGATTTTGCAAAAAACCTATATCTGACAAACATGTTTTCTGAGACCCACTCAACGGAGTGCAGTTCAGAACTGGCAGAGAGAGACTGCCTGGTGAATTTACTTTCCTGAACGTTCCCTACAGAGGTCAAAAATCACTCGAAGAATTCACCCATTAAGTCAAACGCGGTGGCGTTGTAAATAAGTATCAATATACGGCATTTGTTCAAGTTCTGTGCACAGCCAACCCTAATCCTGGCAGTATCGCCGTATGAGTTCAAAGCTTCCTATTAGTTTTCATCCACCTGGGACAAAGATTTTCCCAGATTGCGACAATAAGCCCTTTCTCTTAAACCGCAACAAAGGCAAAATCACTAGTTTGGTGGCTGCGAAAACAAAAAACGTTCATATAATACTTAAGTCACATCAAAAGGAATAGTTACTGAATGAATTTAGAGAGGGCATTTAAAAGGTTATGACGTTTCCTAAGATACCTTGTATACTGTCGCGACTCAACATACCGTGGACCTTTGTAAAGTGATTCTTCTTCCTTCTGAGGTGCTCGGTCTTGCTTTGGTTCGTGTCGGCTAACTATTGTATATCCTGGAGGATATGGAAGGTTGGACAGGTCGACGTTGAAAATATCAGAGGCATTTGTATTCACTGCTGCTCCTTCACCTAGCAATGTCAGATTTTCCGACGTATCGTCATTAATTTGACTTGGGTCAGTGCATTCGTAAGATGTCCGGACGTTTTCTATTCTTTGCGCTGAAGTGTCAGTTTTTGCGACAAGTTTAATGCAAACCAACCTTGTGAGGATGCACTACTGTCCTGATTGAGTGTTTTCACATCTTCTTGCTCGTTGTTTCCTACCTCAGTGGAAATATTATTGGTTGAAAGCCCATCCGTTGGTTCGATTCTATCTTCGATTTGTTCTGATTTACCCATATCTGAAACTATGGAAAATGAAGTTTTGGTATTGATATGGTACCCTCAAGCTGCCGAAGCGAACACCGGGGTTTCTTAGTGAGAGACTCTGTGTAGGGCACAGATGGTACGCAAAGACGTGTAGTAAGTAAATTTTACACCATACAACACAAAACTACATCTCCTTACCAGACCATAATCTGCAGGTAGCTCAACAAATGAATGAAATTGTGAAACAAACGTGAATCGTGTGAATCACTAGGGGCATTTTTGAAATAGAGACGGGCCGTTAGAAGACACTGCACTGGGTTGTTCTCAAAACGCGATTGTTTCCAACGTGTGCAGAATCGTCAACAGATGTCCTCCACTAGTATTACCTTTTATACACATATATGTGAATATCACTATTACCACAACTTTTCGGTTTTTCATTTTGTGACCTGTGAGGAGTTCATGAAAGGCTCCGTAGGATTTTAATAATAAATAGAACCTTTATTTGGTTTATATACACTGCAACAGCGCTTTTAAGTGTTTGTTCCAGTCGTTCTCTGTCTTTGCGTAAGGAGTAACGCTTTTTAAAATATAATCCCCGGTGACTTACACGGTCCCAACATGCATGTGATGGGAGTGTTGCTGACACAAATCAGTGATACCTAAAGCGCCATTCAGCGACTATGTATAACTATACAGTCGAAAATGCGGTACTCATCGTGCAGGTCCAATTTGTATGTGATGAACTAACGATAAATTGTTTCCGAGGTTGTGGCACTAGCATCAGCCCATATATGTGTATTTTGTATTCATATGAAGTAAATACATGAAGGGAGACAGACTATGAAGGAGAGTTAGAAATCCAAGTAATTCCCACAGGCTGTTCATCCAGTGCCGCTAACCTAGTCCAGACATATCCTGGAAAATCATGCTTCGTATGGGGGACTGGTTGCACGTACGGCTATCACCGTATATCGCGTTTTCGTAACATATTCAACGAAGAATTCGTCTAATCACGAGAACTGTTGAATGAATTTGAAGCTCTACCAATCATATCAAAACGAATAGTAGAGAAAAACGCTATAGAAATCAAAGCTACAAAAAAATGACACCTGTGAAATCGAAATATCGCGTGGCAGGGGTTAAGGTATTCATGTCACTAAACCAGCTTTCAAGGTCAGGTTTGACTTGGTTCGGGAGAACGGATGTTAAGTTGCTGGATTGTATACGCGGCCACCGGGTATAATCATAGTATTATTTTTCGACTACTTCAAGTTCATCTTTTCATGCCGTTTCTTCGAACTGTCCTGGTCCATATTATGACTTGTATCATTTTTCAACCTTCCCGAAATGTCTCGTTCCTAGTCAGTCTTAGGTGAAAATCATTCCCATTTTAATGATAACTATATCTTGGTACACCCGTTGAGGCATAACCACAGAACATGACCAAAATATTTCTGGTTGCTCACCTTGAAGGCTTGTTTGCCATTTATCCGACGGGATACAATGCTTCGGATGGTGTCGCGAGAATTGTACTGGCCTATAAACAGGGCAGTACGCGGTGAGTACCGTGTCAATATCAGCTGATGCACGGCTCGCGTCACTATCGCGCACATAACATTTTTGTACACGCCTTAGGGCTTGGGTGCGTCTTGTTTCAACTTAAAAATATCGGGTATGGCGACCTAGTGCAGAGGACACTGAGGGCATAGCAGACGAGATGGGACTATTTGCTTAAATGAACGGACAGGATTGATGCACGGCTGCGTGTAGCGATTGAATGATAGCGCGTCGAGTGAATTGGACAGCAGGAAGTTCCGGGTAAATGAAACCGCTACAAGCCAGCTGGATGGTTCCGTTCTGCGAAGTACTATCCACACCGGTAATAGACAATTTTGTAGCCATTCAATCTACTACAGTCTGGTGCCGGCATTCAGCTGTGGGGTTTCGTCCTGGATGGATTTTCTCTTGAGTCAGACCCGCTTAACCCGCCCTCACCACATCCCGACGTTCTTCTTCATCCTTACCAATTTACAAGCTACTTTGCCCTCCATGGACCACAAATCTGTAAGAAGTAACAAATTTACCTACCAGGATCTGACCGAGAGCCTTGAGCCACTCACCCAGCTATTCAACAAGCATAAGGTCACGTACTGCGCTCTGCATACCAGGAAGTATTATGAAAAGTGGAATCCGCTGCATCACATTCAAAACCGGTGCCATAGCAAGTGCGAAATGATTTTGTGGGACTCGCTTCCGTCTACGAAACTTCAAACAAACATGTGTGAGGTTTTCTTCCTTAGGAGTGGATATTCATGCCACCTCGGGTATGAGGGAGTTTGATGTCTATTTTGAGGCCATACAGGCACCTTATACCGTTGATCATAGTTGCCTGAGTCGCCGGACACAATACCTTCACCAATTCCAGCTGCGCCATATATGCTGTCAGTAGCTCAAGATTAGGAGTGGTCATGCCACCTCGGGTATGAGGGAGTTTGATGTCTATTTTGAGGCCATACAGGCACCTTATACCGTTGATCATAGTTGCCTGCCTCGCCGGACACAATACCTTCACCAATTCCAGCTGCGCCATATATGCTGTCAGTAGCTCAAGAAACTTCGACCCTAACCTTCTTATCACCAAAAGATCGGGTCAGGAGGGGGCTGCTGTCCAGGTGTCCACTGGATTCGCTCTTTCAACGTCTCGGTCATAAACTCCAGCTTTCCGGGTTCCAGTGGATCTTCTACCCGACTTATTTTGTAACCCTACGGTATCTGCAGAGGAGAATCCGTTGAGGTTTGTTGAATATGTATATTATTATATTTGCAATAGTACCGTGATTCAGAATTCGGATTTCTTGGTCGTTTTCCTGGATTGGCACGCGTGACTCAAACTCAGAAAGCAGATAGCCGTCACGGTAGTCAATGGTTCCAGTACTCAATAGTTACAGTACTCAACGGACTACCGACACAGTACCCAACGATCTACGGACGCAGTACTGAACGATCCACGAACTCGGAGAAGATGGGGAAAGCCCCGTCAATTGATCTCTATCTACCGGAGGAATCGAGACATGTTGGCCGTTCTGGCAATCCTTTAGCTATCGGTTCATCTCCTGGCCCTGACTCAGCTGAGCATAAAAAGATGATGTTAGCTGCGTTATTGCGAGCGCAGATTAAGGCAGAGGAAATGAAGAGAGAATTGCAGCTTATGCGGGGGCGTAATGAGGTGCGTCTAGCGGAGTTAGAGCTGGATTCGGACGATGATTCCGTCGTTGACGTGCAGGTTGACCCGCAGGATAAGGTAAAAGATTACCTAGCCGGGATAGTAAGTAGCACACTAATATGTGAGGCACCAGCGGTCCAACCGACTTCTTGCGTGGTTAAGGCAGACCCACCTAGAGTGGACTTGGAGGCCTTCGATGGCAACCCAAGTTTCTATTGGAGATTTATTCAACAGTTCATACTACATAGAGGATAGAGTGCAAGATAGTGGACAGAGGATGCTATATTTGATTCATTACCGCAGAGGTCTTGCGAAGGAAGCCGTGGCTGAATGCGTAATTTTGCCTCCCGAGATTGCTTACGCTAGAACGAGGGAAATACTTAAGGATCTCTTTGGAAGAGAACATATGGTGGCCAGAGCCATACTGGACGACCTGTTCAAGAAATTGAAACCGTTCCATGACGATGCAGATTCATTGTCTCGTTTGCCGATAAATCTTGAAAACTGTCACCTTGCTCTAAGTCGGATGAATCATACTAGTGACATGAATTTCGTCTCAACCATAGAGCGTATTTTCCGTACGTTATTGAGGGATGCTCGTCGGAACTGGGCAAGGTTGGCCGACTCTATGGACAACCTTGGAAAACAGATAGGTTTCTCTGACCTATGCAACTTCGTCTCTCAAGAGGCCCGCATTGCTCGCAGCCGCTATGGTACGCTTACCATAGGCTCAAACACCATCGTCCTCAAACGCAGCATCATCGGGTGGGCAATGAAAGGTGCCATAGTGTATTTTCCGTTCAGAAGAGAACCGATGACTCGTGCCCTTTTTGCAGCGAAAGACATGGACTGGTGCAATGTCGTAGGTTCACTGACTTGCCAATGCAAGCAAGATGGCGTGTGGTGAGAATGAAGCGGTTATGTTTTATGTGCCTAAAACCAGGCCATGCCAATAACGAGTGCGATTCTTCCAAGAAGTGTCGTATAGAGAGCTGCTTGGAGTCTGACCATCATCTGTTGCATGTAGTGCCAGATGCCAACAAAACCACACTGGTTGGTTTGTGTAACTCGACATCTCAGACGGAATCAGGAACCTGCCTTGGCGTCGTACCGGTTCGTGTGAATGGTCCGCAAGGCAGCGTTCTCACGTACGCGTTGTTGGATAATGGGTCGGACGTAACATTGGTAACGAAAGACTAACTTGATGAGGTTGGTCTGACTGGCACCTCAACAACTTTGAATTTATCTACAGTGAGTGGGACCTCCACTGTGGAGACTGCAAGTCTCAGAATCGAGGTTGAATCGGTAGATTCAGGTGAGACCGTAGCGGCTGGACGAGCGTTTGCAATACGCTCTCTGCCCATCAGCCCACCGGTCATGAGACCAACGAAGGTAGCTAGCCAATATGATCACTTGGACACTACCTTTGTGGAGCTTCCAGACAAGAGTATGAGAATATTGACAGGAGAAGACGTTCCAAAGGCATACTGGCCTATGGAGAAAAGGTTGGGCAAGCAGAAGGAAACCTACGCTCTAAAGACACCTTCGGGTCGGGTTTTAATTGGTCTGTTGCCCATAGGACATATAGTCTTGAGGCATGTGCACCATGTAAGTACGAAAAATTATAACATCACCGCTCACCTAAAGGCTCTGTATGAGACTGATTTCAATGATTTAGAGACTCCGGGCCTATGCCAAAATGATGAAGACAAAGAGGCGCTTCGAATCGTTGAAGAGTCTTCAGTATTCAAGGACGGTCATTACGAAATGCCATTACCGTGGTGAACGGTTGAAAGACTTCCCG